ACCCTGTATAGGTTAAAGCGCTCTACGTCCCCACATAAGGTTATTTAGATTCAAACGAGGACGAGTAACGCTACAGCGGGTATATTGGAATAAATTCTGGAAGCGAGAGCTCTACCAGTCGTTTATGCTAATAATATCAGGGAGTCTTGTGGCTGCTCTTAGCCCGAATGCAGCTTAATTTGCAGCTGAAAAAGCTGTAAAAGCTTATGTGAGTGTGTAAAACCGGCGGTAGAGGAGTTATTCGTTGAAAGCTTTCAACTTTTAAAGCGCTTACCCCCAACTAGAATGCATTTAAATTAATGGAGTTCAAATTTACTTTGTTCTGAGGGTAAGCTTTTATATATGCTCGTAAAAAGCACTCATTTATTCTTCTCTGTAATTTTATATACCAAAATTATCAAATATCCCGTAACGCATTTTTTAAGTGACGTCCCATTTTTCATGTTTTTTGGGTTTAAAAATGGTTTAGCCTGATTTATAAAATCTTTATGTAATAAGATTAGACTCAAAATTATCTGTGATATAAATACTAGATAAAAAAATACAAATGCCCCAATGTAAACTTATAACACCACTTCTAAAATCTATATCATTGTCTCTCTACGTTAACAGCCAAAATACCAATAAAGTTGTTCGCTCAGCATCTCAGGTTTTAGTTATTGCTCAGATTCGATGGAACTTTCAAGTATTTCCAAGAAAGCTGAATAATCTTTGCTATTTTTTCGGTCTCAAATAGTTTGTTCAATATCAATATGAATTATTATATTCAAAGGTTCTGAGATCATACAGCTTTTGTCATCACCTAACCAGGGGCATATTTACCCTAGGGCCTCCTAACCTTGAACCAAATAATTTATTTCAAAATATGGATATCTCAGCACTCCTATTACAATTCTATTCTTTATTTTCTACTCGTAGTGGGGAGAATGGCGTCAAGTAGGTTGAATCTGCCCTTTCCAGGCGTCATCGTCATCAGTTCATAAAGGAGTATGTACAGCACAAGTAATAAATTCTCTGAGAAAAAAGTTAGTTACGAACATGTACAACAGAAAAATTAAATGGCTTAGGTCAGTCACAGAGGCCCATACAGTTAGTCCACATATATTATTTCCCTGCCCTATCCGTAGTTCCGCCAATCTAGCAACGTCATCACTCCCGCAGACCACATAAAGGCCCATTGAACCCAGAAAGCAGAAGCAGAAACCCATATCGACAGCGTTCCTGAATCATTCTAAGTTTTGAGGGAAAATGTACGGAGAAATCTATGATGTGTGAATTACAATAGGTGCGTAGAATTACCTCACAGCCCAAGCAATAATTTTTAACTTCTACAATTTTTTTCTGAAAATGATCAGGAGCTTCTAAGATGCCAGAAAAATGAGTTTGTGCGTTTTAATTTTTTCTTGTTTATGCACCTAGCTGCGTCGTTACTGGACAAAAACTTGAAAGGTTTTTTATCCTTGGCATAGTAGGAACCCTTTGTGGAAATTTCTTCAAAATATGAGCGGTACTTCTCAAGTTATAGACGAGTCAAGGATTAAGCGGACGTCCAGGCAGACAGACAGACAGACCGACAGACAGACAGACAAACCGACAGACAGAACAATCGACAGATAGAGCGGCAGACAGACTAACAGACAAGCATACAGACCGACTGAAATGAGTGACACGGTTTGTCGTGATGTACATGACATATACCATCCAAAAAACATAATACTTCATTTTCGAAATTGTTCGCGATTACAAAACTTCCTCACCAGTAGGCGTGAGAGGTAAAATAAAAAATCCTTATACTCAGCAGTTTCTAAAAACGCAAGGAGGTAAAACTCAACTCTCCTACCCTAAAATTCCTTCAAACTTCGAAACCGAAGTTCGTGATTTTTGTTGTTTCAGCGTCTTTAAGATCACTATCAAGTCATACTGTATCAAGAAGAAGTTAAATACAACTTGAAGGGTTGCTTTAGTGGAACACCGGAACTCATTGTCTACCTGAAATACAGTCACTTCTGTTGGATATGACCCTTTTTAAATTTTTTGGAATCAAATTTTGTAACTAAACAGTCAACTTTTGTAAAAAAAAAGAGAAGCTAAAGACTTGATTTTGTAAATAGTTGTAATTAAATAATAGTTTGATGAATCCTGGAAAATCTAATCGGCTTTCACGTACATACCAGTGCTGCTTTTGGTTTGAGAGTGATACGCTCCCGAACTGCTTCAGAAACAATGCATGAGAATACAAAGTGCACTGGAACGGTATTGATGCTGAGCACTACTAAGTTACCTAGAGTTACTCACAGTAGCTCAATAGGGTCACTGTAAAGCAGCTCTGTTTGTGCTCGAGTGTACATGCAAAATGACATTTTTTCTTCTGTTCGTCGGTCAGGGCAATCCATGAAACCTTTGCTCTTGGTTAAAATATCGTCATTAGCTCTGCTAGGTCTGGTTGCCCAGACACCTGACGAAGTCAGACAGAAAGAAAGGAAGAAGAACGAAATGAAGGAAGGGGAAAGAGCAAAGAGGATGAAATGCATCGTTAAAGGGGCATTGTTAACTAGTACCCAGTAATTTTAAATTGATCCAAAAATTAATTTAGGAATTTGTATGTGTGGGAAGAATTGTAATTTTGATTGGACCTAGAATTGCGCGACTTAATTTAGTTCACATTTCTTGCGAACTTGATCGACTGTATAGTCTATTAGCTCACGCAATAGAGGGTTGCTGTGTGATTCCGTTTGACTATATCGTAGCTGTGCCTATTGTTTGAGATAGGATACCTGTCACTGTCAACAAGAAGTATTGAAATTCGGACTTAAGAGCTTCTGGGGCTGTTTTCTTTGAGGAATGATGTATACGCATTGATTTATTACCATATGAATATTCAATTATCAGTGAAACTATCAACTGACAGCTTGGATTTTCTTGACAGAAATTATTTAATAAGGAGTACTAGAGACAAATACTTTTGTCTTACTATGACTTTTATTGTAGGAACAAATCGTGTACACTAATTGTGTAGTGCGTAGGACTTCTCAATTAGTTACAGTTTTATTTTTATGAGATGGTATGAGTAGCTGATCTTCATTTCTCATATTGAGTCTAAGTATATCACAGATTTTAGGGAATTTATCTAAATGAATGAACACGTAGTGACCACCTGAGGCTGTACCATATCGACTTTCAATAAATATCATCATATATCATTTAATGAAAAATCAAGAGAAAATTCAAAACGTATCAACTTATTTATCATCGGCAACTTTATTGTATGGATGTGAAAATATGTGTTTGTTATCCTACTCCAGAGAAATCGCAGTCTAGTATATTTTTATTTATGAGAAAAGCGCTCATGTGGAAGAAATCCAATTCAAACGTGCAATCCTTCCTTGGGTTTATGGAATTCTTTATCGCATGCATTATTATGTAAATCATGTGGCTTGTCTACCGTATATGTTATTTTCCTTTGCATACCATTTCATCTACTTGACATTCCGAGAGGGACGAACACTTATTAGATTAAAGACTACTCAAAATATACACTATTATTTATTTGCTTATTCACTTTTATATTTATCTATTTATGTATTTATTTATTGCAGCAATAAAGGCATTTCATTTATTGTTGATTGCTACAAAATGAGGCTGAGGACAGTTCGTATTTGGGGGACCCAGCTGTTCAAGTAACAGGCCCATGCGATTACAATGTATGAAACTATTAAAAATACATGAATAACATATAAAAAGCAATATACTGTAATGTACCAATGAATATTTTTTCACCGCATGTTTGAAAGCTTAGATATCATAATTTCTTATAGATCGGGGCAGTTCATTATATAGGCTAAAATCTATGTTGTAACCGAATGATCAACAAAAACGTGCAGTTCTCTGTTTGAACAAAGATATAAAGTCACCATGCCGCAAGTTGCGACTTTCTATTGCTGCTGAAAGAAACTTCTTTATACAAGTGTGGTGGAGTGTTGTTTCTTATAATTTTAAGAAATGTTAGCAATTAATGTAGTTCTCGTTTATTTGTCATTAACACCAAAGATGAATCTCCAGCAAGATTTTAGAACATATTCTATACGAGCATTATCAATTTTATCCAAACAAGAGCTATAAAAAGGTAGCTATAATGTCTTAGTACGACAGTATCAAATAGCTTTGCTTCCAAGTTTTGACTTAATATATGACGATGTGGAAAGACAAGCTTTAGTGTTGCAGAAATCAATGAATACAATTAGCAACATTGTTTTAACCTTAGTTTTGTATCTACCTGAACTCTTAAATTATTTATGACTGTCCTGGATACCAACTTTTCATTTTTTCTATTCATGTGGTGTCTTTACCAAACGGTAGAACTGCAGACTTAGAGGGACTAACGACCCGTTTGTCCGAACAGTTGATTAGTTTTCCTAGACTGCGGTAGATAACGGTGTTCATTTCAGTGATCTTTTGTGGTGGAAATGTTTATAATATTTGTGTATCGCCTTCGTTCTGAAATGTTTCGAGCAATTTGACAGGTGTAAATGGAGAAGTGGCACAGCTATGATCCAGCTCTAAACCAAGATTGATAAATGTGGAGTAACTCAGGGTTTTCTGAATATTCTTTCGGTTGATTGTTAAGAATTTTCTGCAGTACCTTCCATATTGTTGGCAAGAGACTTATTGGACGCAACTCGTCAAAGCTAGATGCATTGTCTTTTCTTGACAATGGCAGAACTCATGAAATCTACCACATGTTCAGGAAAATTGTTTTTTATACGCATCTATCGATTATGAGACAAATATAGAATTATTATGAGGAAGCATAAAATGTAACATATTTACGTTAAGCTCGTCGTAACCGGGTGCTGTTGATTTAGCTTACACATTTTTTGTAACAGAATCAGATTTAATCACTTTTTGAAAATTGCTACTTGATCTGTGTGGGCTACGATATTCTCTGGTTTTTTAATATGTAAGTTAATGTTTTTCATGTTTCTCATGTATGCTTAGAATATCTAGTTTCTATATTTCTTCATTTGAACTACATATTTCGGAAAAGCGTTCTTTTCGTTTCTGATATCAGTTGTAGTCTGATTGCCAGGATAGTTTAAATAATTCCACGTTGAGTTTTTCTTAGTTCTTTTGAAGTCACGGAAGTTTTCATTTCTTAACTAAAATTAAAACTTACAGATGGTAGGGGCTTCATAGGTAGGCATTTACCTGAAACAATAGAAGGATATTAATTAAAAGGGTTCCAATTATTATATTATAGACTACTTTTTATTTTATTATTAAATATCAAATAATTTATACCACGATATTTTTTTATTGTTTACTTTGTGGATAGACATTTTACAGGTTAAGTGGTAGAATAGCTTATGCTAAACTTCGCCCAATAAAGAAGTTTTATCATTATTATTTTGACATGGCATTCACATTATCAAAAACATATGTATCTATAATGATTGTTAAGAGATGTCCATATAAAACCCCCTTACTGAGTGAAGAACTTCTAAAATACCACATCGTTTCTTATTGAACTGCATGCACTGGATATCTAGTTTCACGTACCTTAGATTTTCTGGTAAGGTATAACAGTGAGTACTCACATGACGTATGTTTGTGGTTCTTAAGATATCAACATTGGGACTGTTTAAAAGTAAATGCTTCCACACTTACTTTATATGTTACATGACATGTACATCGTGAAAACCCAAGTCACTCATTTTCGTCGGTATGTCTGTCAGAATATAGGAATAGCGCAATGAGAACGTCTTTTCAAGCAACTTGGAATAGTCCAAGAAATAATCCCTAAAGATGTCTACTCCGTATTCATAAAAAATAATTCTCAACGTATAATATTTATCAACTGAATGTTTTCTGCTACATGATTGGTTTAATGTAGTCTCGTTGATGAATAGAATACTGACCTATTGCTTCAATAAAATCGACCATCTAAGAGGTGCTCTAAGGATGGCTGTATCTATGTGTGCAACAAAGTATAGCCACTAAAAAGGTAAGATAACTGTAACAGAAACCGACTCACATTTTATACCTTTAGCATTCACATTAGAAAGTGACGTCATGACTGTACGTGTTTGGCTAACGGAACCACCAGCTTGTTGGGTCGGTCCGTTCATTGATAGCATTTATAGTTCTGGCATTTTAGATTCAATAGTAAATTTTTATGACACAAGTTTTTTATACTTCTTTTTGTTGGAAGTATAAAATAATAATGCTGGTTTTACTGTAAGGGAAGTTGAGCAATCACTATTTTTCTGCCTAAGGTTCTAGGATACTCCTATCTATAGTTCCTTAAACATGCACACGTTTTTCTTTACACCGAAGCAGCCGCAAAGACAGAAGCCTAAATGCCACGGCACCGCGGCTACTATGAGGATGATAAAGAAACTTTGTTAATCCAATTTTTCAACTCATACTTATACATAGATAAACATAGCAACTTTCATGGAAAAATAAATTGGAATCTCAGATAAATTATTTGTTTTTTAAAATATACTAAGTGACATATAACATGCAACACCCAGAATTATTTATTGAATTTTGGTAAGAACTTGTAAACATATTTGCTATCATGGAAGTATAAGCTGATAAAATGTTGAAGGCATTCCGAACCGTACTTTTTTTTTTAAAGTTTTTTGTCATATCAAGATCCGAACATGTTTACTTACTATTCAGTGATTTTTCTGTGTTGGTTCCATTTGTTTCATTCATGTTTTATTGCACTATCATGCCTAGAATTCGCAGACGTGCTAATTTCACTAAACTTTCCGAGTTTGAGGGGGGTCGGATAATCGGGTGACGTGAAGCCGGATTTTCTTTTAGAGAAAACGCTAATCGGGTGAGTCGATTCGAAGCTACTGTAATGAGATGTTATCGAGCTTGGTTCCAAGCAGGCCAAAATCGACGAGTTAGAGGTACTGGAGGTCACCTTGGTGGGATATTTCAAGTATTTTGCGAAATTTCGAGTAAGAATTGTAATCACTTGCTATTGATCAGTAGACCTAAAACTTGTAAAAGTATGCTCAAAATTACAGCACTCCTAGTCGGTGTTGCATTTTCTATGTCATTTAGTATATAAACATGATTAGGAGGATTTTTTGAATTTCAAAAAAATGCAAGAAGGCTTTTACCATTCCTCGGCTATACCAGCCAAATTTTGAAGAAAAAAATTTTCAATACACTAGTTTTTGGGTGTAGATAAAAGAAATGGAACTAAAAATTAGCGCAAATATGAAGTTTATGAAGTATCCTACTATATAATAGATTTTAATTCACCTCAGTTGACTGTAATAATAATAATCATAAGAAGAAAAAAATGTATCATGAATCTTATATGACGTATAAAAGGTGGATCATAGAACTAAAAGATACATCAATAGAGCAGTAACTCTTTCATACTTTATACGATGTTGTCAGATATCATTACTTAATAGGTTTTCGTGTTGAAAATTATTTTTAATAAGTGAAAAACAAACAAGTTTTTGTAGTTGATACAAATTTGTTTTTATAGTTTTTGTATGTATGACGTCGAATCAGCAGCGCTAAATAACAAAGGGGAAGAGGAAGAGATTCTAGTGTAAAAAGAGAACGGTTATGCGTGTAAATGCTTATTTTCGTTGAACTTCTTGAATGTCTTCAATATTCAATGGCACGGTAGCGGTATGTATAGGATGAAACGGGACATTCTGCAAATGTCATGTTATTGTTACGGTGTTTATACCTGTTTAACAGTTAAAGGACGTTTGGCTTTTACATATCTTTACTACGTTCAAATGTTCATTTTGCTATAAAATGTGCAAATGTGATACACTGTCATGAGAATCATCTTTATAAATTGTCGTTGATTGGTTATCTAAATTAACAAAAAAATATAGGCAATATCAAATTCAAATTCAAAATACATTTATTTGCCAAAAAACAAAAACAAAGAAAAAACATTATATTTACCGTATTATAGAAAATACACACAATATGTTTGGCAAAAAGGACAAATCCTCGATCAAATGACCATTAACACCCACCCTTAGATAAGTAGGGTGGGTGTGAAAATGCCCTGTGTTACACTAATTTACACATATAATATATAAACAATATTTTGGAGTTTAATGATTTCATTTATTACGAGCATGAACCATTGATATTGCAGAAGAAAAAAAAAGTATTTACTCACTTAAAAAGTCAACGTTCCGACGAATATCAAAACTACTCAGCAAAAGCAAAACTCATTTGCACGCTTTTTGACATCATTTTTGTAATGTGTCTACTGCGAAAGCTTTAATTTTGGATACAGACAATTTTTATCAACGAAAGTAGTTGATTTTTATTTTTATTTTTCGAATATATTTTTTTGTGCCGAGTCTGTTAAATCCTCGAACTGAAAAATTAGTGCTCGGTGACAAACAATAAAAAAAATCCCTACCTTAAAGTTCCTATTTTACGGGCAGCAGCTTAAACGGTATTAATTTAACTCCAGAAACTTATCCTGTGGTTTTCATATCCATAAGATTCCATTATATAGCCAAATGAAATCACATGAATGTTTTAATTCCTGTTTATTGTATGACATTTCTTGACAGTGAATGACACTGTGTACACTAAAATTTTAGAAAATCAGAATGACGGATTTTAATTTTCAAATTTGAAATTTCTATTTCAAGGGCTACAGACTAAATGGCTGGATGTGCCCTTAAATTCGTCTTGATAGCATCATCTTTTCAGTTATTTCAGTCGCCTTTTTGCATTTCTTAAAAATATGCTTGTTTTGATTCATTTTTCGCAATCAAATACCGCGGTTGCTTTTTGTACCTTATTTATTGTCTTCACCAACACTAACATGAGAAACGCAATAATTAATCGTCGACTGTTTGGTAGTTCAAAATTCCCCAATTGACTTTCTTATCCAATATGTCTTTAAAGCATGGATGGAATCTCTGTTATTGGAGGTGGTTATCGAGAGTTCACTTTATTCATAGTTCTGAGTACTTTTTCTGTTATGTTACCTCATATTTACTTCATACTAAATTGCTTTTCCGTTTGGATGCTCATTTTTTATTCGAAAACCTGTCTCCAAAGACTGTGAACAGGATGAGATTGTTTTCCCTTATCCGAAGCTGTTAGCCTTAATTGTCCCTGCACGCCCCGCTTTAATAGAAATAAATGCACCAAATGAGTATTAATGGAATGAAAATCTACCATGGATTACAAAGAGCTTGCCGCTTTGTGGCCGTCTGCCCTGTTACTCGTCTTAATGGCCCCTTTTTGCGACATCCCACGTTCGTTTTGTGAATAATAAACCATTACGCTGATACGGAAACTATTTTTGTACTGCAGGGAAATGAGGCTGTTTGGACTGCTAATGATGATAATAAATATAACCGTTGTCTGCTGTAAGAGGTATGCTTGAAGCTGGAACAATTATTCAAGCTTATTCACATACAAAAACTAACATTTTTAGGTTATAAACATATTTATCATAATGAAGGGATTGAAGGTTTAAGCTGGAACAATTATTCAAGCTTGTTTTAGCTCCTATACTAAAACTAACATGTTCAGGTTATGAACAATTTTATTATAATGAAGGTAACCCATACTCAGAGATTGAAGGTTTACGTACAAGCTTGACAGTACCGTCTCCAGGTGTTCTTGAAACATGTTTTTATCCATGTTTCTTAGAGTATTTCAGTGCTACTGTATATAAGATAGAACATAAAAGCGGTTAGATGTAAGCGATGGATTTGTTCTTGACCCACTCAAACCTGGATTGTTGTATTTGTTGCATTTTGCATATTATATACTGACAGTAAGAGTCAGTAATTTAGGCGAAACTAATTTGAACTATACCTCGAAGCAATCCTAATGAGCCGGCAATGCCTACAAATTACTTTTACGTTTCCCACATTATACTCTACCAATTAAAGCTTTTAAAAGCTTTGTTCTAGCGACATTATCTATATAAGAGCTTTTGGAACAATACCAATAAGCACAACTTCAGCGAATAATATCAACTGTGCAGAATTGTTTTGTCGCCTCCATATATTCTTGTTCAAAATAGTAATGGAACAAAAATACGAATTGTTACTCAATCTAAATAATACAGCCTACTGTTTAGGCTAACAATATCACTAAAAGTGATCGGTGGTCGGTTCTGGAAAATCAATCCAATGATAAACTCATTAAAGTGATGATATTTAACCCAA